ATCGTGAATCAGTGTGCCGTCGGATTCCTTAATTACCTCACTTACGTCTATTTTCCTAGGGCCCGTATTCCTGATTGGATGGAAAAGGTTACGACTATTACCAATAGCCGCAGCTTTCTCCATCTTTTGGGTGTCTATCAGGTAGAAACCGGCTAGCACACCGAATTCAGATTACTAGGTCTCTCTGGCTAGGGCACGTATTGCGTATACCCAGCCATCGTCTGCCACCGTGATTTATTCACTGTGGCTAATCCGGACTGGAAGAAACCAAGCGGAGGTCAGCAGTTTACGTGGAGAGTGGGCATTAGGTAGAGTAGGTGTCTCTCGCCTTCCAGATTGGGGTTCGAAAGACTCCACAACTGGTTGGTTGGAGACATTGAAGTATATGGCAGCGAACCGGCAGCAGTGGCGTTCTTGTTGTCGTTTTCTTATCAGATCAGAATGCTTGAAACGGAATGTATGCAGAGTTCGGTTGCGTACTCTGTGTTGACCATAGTGACTCACCTTCTTCTCCCATCCTCAAAATAGATCCAATCCCTGTCCACTTTAAATTTTACCACTAACCTTGTATGTATTACGAGTTTGATAGCGATCAGTGAATTTCGCTTCACTGTATTTCGCTGTACGATGATGATGATGCCATAGTCAGACACTTATGGCTTTTTATACGGAGGAGGTTTATCCGGAAAAACCTTACCGTCCTCAGGTACTGCCGCTGCTGTCCCTTGCCGCCATAGTATTAGCTCGGGTGACAACAAAACTGTCCACTATCACTGCTTTTAAGCTCTCTCCGCCGTTTTGTTTGGGAATTTCTTCGAGCCTGTCGGTAGCTTAGGAACCGTTACTTGAGTGATTTTTAGTCTGGTTTCGTCTCTGTGTCCTGAACACAACGATTACAATTCATTTATGTTTAAATACTGGTTCTTCATTCATATGCATTTCATTTTAGACAGCGTAGCAACCTGGTATCAGTTTTTTATGTTGGAATTCAACTATATATTGTATTTGTACAGAGGAGTGAGACCTTTACGTGTGAATCGCAGTGATCACTTTTTGTTGGTTTTTCTCTTTTCAGCTCTCATAAGGATTAGTATGGATGAAATCACAACGATCTTGCTACCCGCTGTTCTAACGTTCACAATTTCCGGCATGTTATTATCTTGTTTTTGTTTGCGAAAGCGCAGGTATATTCCTTTTTCATGTATTATTATTATCCTTGCTTTTGTTCTTAGCAAAATAAAACTGCCCTCCTCCTCAATGGGCTCCAATGAAGTAATCAGTCAAAATTTGCCACAGGTAATTTCCTAAGATCTGCTTTTTCAGTTATTTCATATTTTATGACGATTAAAAGAATTTGATTCTCTTTATCGCAGAAATATTCAAATGAAAAACGGGATTGATAACGCGGAGTCAGTTCATTCATCGTAATATGTGCTAAAAAGTTGAGTGCTATGTTGCCAGTTCGGTTCTATAGTTAAACACTTACTTTACTACGACTGACTCCTTAGAAAAGATGAGATGGCTCCATGAATGTCTCCGATGGCCGCTATCCAAGCTTGGTGGTTGGCTGCAGGATCCTTGCAAATGTTGATCCATTTTGTTTTCAATCGGCGAGTACCGTACACCATCCGAAGGCCAAGTTGGTCGACGTCTTCAAATACAGTGTATAGCCAGGTTTTTATTTGCCCACCTTGTCGGCGGCACCAGCCAGGACATGGTGTCGGAGCCACGACAAAACTCGTAGGTGTCGTCGGGTCTGCGGAGAACATGGCTCAGTCATTGCAGCCGGCGGCGTTGTATGTACACTGAGAGACGGGCAACGTGGCATCGATTTCTGAGGTCCGAGTTTGAGACCCTGTCTCACCAGTTTAATTTTAGAATCCCAGTGTTCATCTACACTACCAAGCTGCAGCGCACTTGGGTCATGTCATAGTTTTCATTCAAAGCGTGCGTGAACGGCTGAGTCAAATAAGCGATGATCTGCCACTCGAGTTTGGTGGGTTTTTCCGCGATTAGTGAGTCGGAGAGTGAACTGCACTAAAACTCATGCATGATCAGTTTCAACGCAGGTGGCTTAATAAGACCTGAAGTTTTGTACTGAGCCACGCCACTGGTAGCCTACGGCTATGCGGTCGATTTGAGTTAGCGTAACGAAGGATGAGTTCTACGACATTCTTCAGGAGGTAGTAAATCGCATCCCCAATAGAGATGTACTTATCGTGGCAGGAGACTGGAATGCTCGAACAGGTGGACAAGAACCTTCAACTAAACATATAATTGGAAAATTTGGATTAGATCATCGCTGCGAAAACGGTGACATTCTAATAAATTTCTCCGATTTCAACCGGTTATTTATAATCAACACGTGCTTCCAGCCCCTCAGGAAGCATCTTTTTACCTGCTACTCCAACGATGGTATAACAGCCCACCAAATCGACTATATCTTGATACGGTCACGCTGGATCTCATCAGTAGAAGACTGTAGATCGTATCGCGGTGCCGAAGGTGGCTCTGATCACATGCTAGTTCGTGCGAAACTTCGCCTTCGGCTGACTACTCCTGTTAAGACCACCCCTCCAAATCGCATCAATGTGGACTCATTAAAGTGTTGCGAGAAATCAAGAACACTGATGGATGAAATTGAAACCCGACTAGCAAATGAGTCTACCCCATTGGTCATTGTAGCAGACTTCACTGATGTGCAGTGGTCCAGGATAAAAGCTGCATTACAACAAGCTGGACTAAACAACCTTGGTACCACGAAACGCTGCTACAAAGATTGGATATCAGAGGAAACCATCCGTCGCTCAATCCTGGCCAGGAACGCCCGTTTAGCTGGTCACCACAATTACCAGCGACTCAGACGGGAAGCGACCCGCTCCGCAAAAGCAGATCGGCGCAAGTACTGGAACGAACTAGCGAACAAGATGGAAACCGCAGCCAGTGCTTGTCACTTCGGAGATCTCTTTCGTGTCATAAGATCAGCGTCTGTCAGAAGGCAATATTTACAACCCGTTCTGCGCGACTCCACCGGGGGACTGATCTCCGATATTGACGGTAGAATGACCAGATGGGTAGAACATTTTAGTCGACTTCTCTGTCATCCGCTGGGCAATTCGGTGGATATGCATCTCGACATGGCGTCCCCGTACGAGGTCGGCTGTGATCCTCCAACAATGGAGGAAATAGCCGCAGTGATCGGTCGCTTGAAGTCTGGCAAGGCCCCTGGTGAAGACGGAATCCCGGTAGAAATATATAAGAAATGTCTTCCGGTGGTCATCAAACCGCTTCACACACTCTCTCTCTCTCCGCTCTATTTGGGAGTCCGAAACATATCCAACTGATTAGAACACCTGGATTTTGCTTCCATTCCCCAAGAAGGGCGACAAGACACTATGCGAGAATTATCGAGGCATCAGTCTGCTAGATGTGGCTGCAAAAGCGTTTGCCCAGCTTGTGCTTAATCGATTTGCTACAGTGCGGCATACACGTACGCGGCCAAACCAAGGAGGCTTCCAACCCGGCAAAGGATGTATCGATCAGATTTTCATCCTAAGGCGAATTCTGGAACACTGATACAAGTTTAAGCGCCCCACCGATACATGTTTCATTGACCTTCGCGCCGCATTCGATTCAGTGGACCGCGAGTCACTGAAAGATAATGCTTGCAGATGGCGTCCCTGCAAAGTTGGTCAATATAGTGAGATCGTATTACACCCAAACCAAAGCCCGTATCCGTGCCTACGGCGAAGAGTTTCATCCCTTCGATCTGAGGTCAGGAGTAAGACAAGGATGCCCGCTATCTCCAGTGTTCAACTTCGCCGTTGATTGGATTCTGCATCGGGCAATGGAAGGTTACCAAGGCGTCCACGTTTCCGCGGATTGTTGGATTACTGACCTCGAGTTCGCCGATGATGTGATAGTGCTTGGAGGGGACCTGACCGCCTTGCAAACAACTGTCGACTGTATCAGAAGATTTGCCACCGAGATCGGCTTTGATATTAATCCTAACAAAACCAAGATGTTCGCTACTCCACCTGATCAAGCGGAACATCCCCTGCAACTGGATGTTCGGACAATAGAAATCGTATCAGACTTCAAATACCTTGGGTCCACCATCCTGCCTAATGGGCAAGCCAAAGATGGTGTAAAACGGCGCACAGACACGGCCCGAATGGCGTTTCTGCAGCTCCGAACCACCCTATGGCGCAGAACGAGATCAGCCTCAAAGCCAAGCTCAGGGTGTTTGCCACAGCAGTTCGACCAGTCCGACTATACGGCTGCGAAACCTGGCCGCTGAGAGCTGAGGACATCCGACGATTGGAGGTTTTCGATCACTGGTGTCTTCGATTCATTCTAAAATTAAACTGGTGAGACAGGGTCTCAAACTCGGACCTCAGAAATCGATGCCACGTTGCCCGTCTCTCAGTGTACATACAACGCCGCCGGCTGCAATGACTGAGCCATGTTCTCCGCAGACCCGACGACACCTACGAGTTTTGTCGTGGCTCCGACACCATGTCCTGGCTGGTGCCGCCGACAAGGTGGGCAAATAAAAACCTGGCTATACACTGTATTTGAAGACGTCGACCAACTTGGCCTTCGGATGGTGTACGGTACTCGCCGATTGAAAACAAAATGGATCAACATTTGCAAGGATCCTGCAGCCAACCACCAAGCTTGGATAGCGGCCATCGGAGACATTCATGGAGCCATCTCATCTTTTCTAAGGAGTCAGTCGTAGTAAAGTAAGTAAGTAAGTGAATGATGTAGCACCGAGGTGAGAGCAATGATGATCTTGCTTTCAATTCTTATCACAGAATGTTTGAGAACGTGTGTTTTCGCAGTTGGACTGTGTACTCTGTGTCTTGACCGTAGTGGTTCACTTACTGCTCCTTTCCCTAAAAATATTGTCAATCCTTATCCTGCATACTTATTATCGCTTACCTTCTATGCATTGATTTTGGCAACTGTCACTGAGTTGCGCTTCGATTTTTTTACGCTTTCCGGTGATAATGTTGACTTATATGATGGACGTAATTTTTCGGTAACTGCGCATAACGGAGCTGTCTACCTTCGGACTTAACCGATGTTGGTGGGGTTCGAAACTTAAAACTTACGAACGACAATTTTTCCCTGTGCAACGTGCGCATGCAAACAGAGATCAACTCTTGGAAGTTGGTTCTGTTGATTGCAAACGGATAAGTCGTCCTACCTTGTGCCATAATTAGGATGTTCCCGACTGTTATCATGAAATGATTAAACTTGCTAATCTTTCTGCGTGTTCAAGTTTCCGCACCATTTAGAGGCATGGGTTTTATTTGACTTGTGAATCTACCGGATACTTCGACAGTCCGTGTAGCGAGTCTATGCTCTACTGTGCCTATAACGTACCTTCGTCGTACGGATCCAGTTTTTATCTAACTCGTAATATGCATAGATGTGGGTACTAACACAATGGGACTTTTTTCATCAAGAGACTGTATTTTTGTGTTTTGCGTGATTTACAGTTATTGCTCATTAAATTGAAAAACTTTATGCTTGTACCAAAGTGACTTCTACGACGCTTCCCTGTTATTTACTGGTATCGGTTTCATTGTGTGTTCGGCTTTACCTTTCCAGTACAGCGATTTTTTCAATTTCATTGAAATAGTATTTCTTAGGACTTTTATGAAGGGAATCTGTAAACATTCAACAAACTTAGTTTAATGCAACCTGGTCCCACGTTTACCATAAATATACGGCCACAGAGCGTTATAGACGGATGCCTTTAAACAGGAGAAAGATTGCGGTTCTCAATCTGAGGTTTTAGTTCTGTCAAGTACATTAGCGGAAGGTAGCAGGTAAGGCAAAGTAGTGGCCCGTTGGCTTGGATCAATTACTCCTCCAGCATATTTTTTACCGGCTGAAAGGTTAACTGGAGTCAAAATCCCAATCAGTAGGATCAACGGACTAAGCTTTATTTTATTTCTGATCTTTGACCTTCTCACCATGGTTATATATTTGGCTTGACAAAAGATATCCTCTGTAGTTAGCAGGATTACCGAAGTACATAAGCTTCACGTCAAACTGTCGTCTACTTGTCATATTCAGAGAACTGGCATTGAAACAGTTGTAACTCCGGATTTAAATACAGATGTTTTCAACCCTAAAATCTAGATTCATTCCAATCCTGTTCATTTTTCCTTTAAAGTTAGCCGTTTAAGATAATATTCTCGGCTCTGGAAATCAATCAGCAGTGCCGTCTTTTTGCCACGAGGTAACGAGTCGTGTTCGCGAACATTCACAGTTTTTCTACAACAGAATTGAACTTGACGAAATGTAAACAATATATGAATCGCTTGTAGTTATCAGAATTAGTAACGAACTTTAATATTTCTCTTATTTGCTCCTCATCATCAACAACGACCGAATACAGATTTCACCCACGATTTCTAGCAGCACTTGATAACAAAACTTATTAAATAAAACCAACAAGCAGTTTGCATTGCAGTGGTTATAATACCCCGTGCACTAAAGTGAGGTTAGGATCATTGAGTTCAATATATATATATATATATCTTCGCACACGCCTTAGTTCAGAATGTGTATTAAACAAATCATCGCTCGTAGGCGCGATACTGTTAAGGTTGCTCAGGCCAAAGCAGGTACAGTTTCTTATGGAGTTAACAGCCGGAGCCTTCGGCTAGCCAAAGCCTGACCCGCAAGCCAGCGAGACGATGTGTGAAAACTGCAATCCATTGGGGGCCGGCATCTAGTTCATCGCATTATATGCCCCTTGGACGGGGTCAAACGCCCAAGGTGCTCAATACACCTTGATACCCAGTTGAGCCGGTGGCCACTACCACAATCGGGAAAGTACGGGTAGTTTGTACGCCTCTTCTTTGTTGGTTTGGAATCAGGGCTTCTGGCCAAATCCCCTAGGTCAGGTGCTAGTGGTTCACCAACCCGGTTATGGCCTCGGATATTGACTTTTTTCTCTCACTTTGTTCGGAAAACATGTTCGCCCTGGTAAGGCAGTGAGTGGCTTCTTCAACTGAAGTTAGGCGAGGCGCTTGGTCGTATGGGAGCATGTCGCTAGGTGCAAGGAAAGGGTGCCCAGCGGCAACCTGAGACAACCACCCCAGTCTGCGCTGAGGCTTTCGGAGAGAGAAAGAATAGAGTTCGAATTACAGGCTTTTTTGTCTTAATAATAAGCATGTATCCCACCATCATAATAGCCACAAATAATGCTAACAGCCCTAGTGAATGACTTTCGAGTGTTATACTTTATAAAGTCACGCAATAAGGGCGTGATACGGCATTGGCAAACAGTAAAAAAGCTTTCTGCCAACTGTCACAATAGTCAGTTGGGTTGATGTTCTTCTCTACATACACTGAATGTAGAAATTTGTCATAAGGAAGTATCGTCGCCTGGATTCATTTGTTTTTTACTGGGTCCTTTATTATTCTGGTGCGATCAAAACAACGCATTTTTTCGGCAACTTGACAACTCACATCTTAACGTTAAGATCGTGGGGTTTTCCCTCTCGAATGAAGCTTCTCTCGATCAGCATTGATAGAAGCCCTTTATAAAAGCTTGAAGTAGAGTTGTGGTCAATATAAATTCTGTCTCTGTTCCCCTCGAATTCCATTTAGCAATCGGTAGAGGATCCAAGCAAGGACCGATTGACTGAGCCACACCCATTTTTGCCGTTATCATTGTACTCGAGTACAGGTACAGGTTCGGCCGTGATTGGAAATACGATCGGGCGAATGGATACACATCCGGATACATTGACCCTTCTGGACAGCTCGTATCTGGTATCCAATACATGCGTCGGCGCGGCACCCAATTCAGTGCCACATTTGTTGATTCGGTAAGGACATTTTCATGTTGATGATGATAACGAGTTAATATATAAGTCGCAATTTTGAAAACACAGCGATGTGAACTCCAAAACCAGTTGTGAACTTCAGGGAAAGCATTCATGTATGCGCTAATCGATAAATATACAGGTGCATCAAAAGGTCTTCCACACCAAATATTCACATTCTCAAACGGCCCAAGTAGAATTCTCAGTCTCACTACCACAGTAGTTATTAATGCAGATTTCTGTATTTCTGCGTAGCTTGTGCCAAACTCTAGTTTGGTACTGATTGGCTGTTTCACCCACGTTCGCTAAGCTGTCCCAAATGGTCTCACTTTGCTATCAGGGCATAGATGCATACACGCGTGCACAGATCGACCGGAGACTGTGTCCGCATGCGCTTGTACACCAGAGGTGGGTTCGGGCCACACAGAAAACCCAGCTATTTATAACTACTGGTTGTTTGCGGTAGTGAGATTGAGAATTCGACTTGGGCGCCTTCGAGAATTTCACTATTTGGTGTACGAGAACTACTGATACACTTGTATGTATAAGGATTTAATATTGATCAGACGCTCTTTGAAAAGCATCTCAAGATATGAAGCTGTATCTTATATGTCGCTGGTTGACTCCATTGTCAACCAACGCCCTAAGGCATGTGACCATCTGTGTGACTCTGTCTTGTCCGATGCATCACATCCTTTACACTCAGCCCTCTATCGCTCCATTTCAATTTCTGTCACCTGCAATAAATTTAAACCTTTAAATATGCCTAACCTAGGGGGCCTTATGTGGTTCGCCACTCCAAGTCCCGGGGCTTAGGTTGCCGGTTTCCATGACGGAGCATCAGGTCTTCGTGACTATGGGGTTCGCCCCGTCTCCTGTTCACCAAACAAATGTGTGTAATAAAAGAATACTCGTGCTACTGCTTTTCACAACTCCGTTGTACTCTACGTTTCACGTTTGTGGGTTTACAGGAAACGAATATCAAACGTACTTATACATAGTCTCGTAAATTTTCATACTGAAATTTTTCTTCATTTGCTACTCGTTCTCGGGTCCTCTTCATTATTGTCATGTCTTCTGACTCATTTTTAAAAGTATGTATGATAAAGCCAAAGTGATAACATTCTTTTCAGTGAAAATTCCGTGCATATTGGATGAATAAAATGCACTCTTGACCTAGCTTGACTTAACAATTTAATTTTCCTCAACACTGAACTGAACTTTTTGCTTTAACTTCTGCGATGTGCACACTAAAAAGAGATCATATATATTTTTCAGTTCAGCTTACACAATCGTTAACCTTGCACTTTCTTGTACCGTTTTGAGTTGCTGGCTTTTGGCTCATCAGTCGATCGATAGACGTGTAATAATGCAGGAGTGAATGAAAGAATGAAACATCTGAGAGCCTTTTCCTAGTTAAAAGTACAGAATGCAGGTAAACTCAGTATGAGCAGAAATTGAATAGATGTACGGGCGCTATCGTTTGTGACACTCGGCCGTATCATTGTGTCTTTTCTTCATACCTGATCATAGTGCGACAGACATCGCAAACCAGATCGGCCAGAGATTGTTTCACACGGCTATAAATCACTTCTCTTAAACACGCCTAAATCCGTCGATTACATTGGGTTGTAATACGTACAACCGAGTGGGACTAAACCAGGCCAAACACACGGTACTGTTTTCGTCCTTTTGCTTGGGTGTACTTTGACAACCACCTGTCAGTCTTCCGAGTTTCTCGGTTAACTAGATCGCGGTAATCGTATCACATATAGCACCGTCCTAGTTCGCACAACACCTGTGAACGTGATTCATAGTGTGCTTGTGTTTGTGTGTGTGTGTACTTATTGCTGTGCTTCTATTAGATCATAACTATTCGTATAAATATACACCGGTTTTCGACCGTACACCAAGTGATTAGTCTTTCTCGATGCCTTCGGGAACATGTCAGTGATTCTTACGTGATATTTGCAACTGTTGTATTCAACACAGTGTACGTATTGTCTCACCCCTGTCTGTTTGTCCTACATAATCCGCTTGAAGCGTGATTGAGTTATTACAATACACAGTAAGGTTTTTGTTGTCAATGCACATATCTGAGACGTTCTTTTCCCGGTAGAAATTTAAACAGAAAAAATTCGAATTAGCGCTGTTCGTTTCCGGAATCATTTCACTGCACCTCAGGTGGTGCTTACAGCGGAAAAAAGAGTTAAAATCAAGGTACACGGAGTCAGGATTGGGGAGAGGAAGAAACAGTCTGACACAACCAGGGTCGATCCAAGGTAGCATAAGTTCCTCTCTGTTGGCACAGAGCGGGTTTCTATAGAATGATCACCAAAGCCCGCCGCAAGTAGCGGTAATCGTAGGCTTCCGACCAAATAAATACTTCAGAATGATTTACTGCGATCGACTGGTGACGTGTTGCTGCCATATATCTCGCGATTGATGACGCATGAGTTTGTCTCTATTTTATTCATGTTCGTCCGTAACTACGCTAAATTCACTGTGCTGACCTTGTGCTCAACCCCTTTCCGGAATACGTTTGATAGCTCAGTTACTAAATGATTCCGGAAATACATTATGCGTTATCGAAACTTCATGTTATGTATTCAGGTACACAAATCGTCAAAGCAATTCAACAAACTAACTGATCGTGCAGTTTTACCATATGACATTTTCGCACAGGTGGCTCACATAAGCAGGCGGCGCTATACTGGTGGAAACGATTGAGTTTTCAAATTTTTGGCTTTATTTCGTGTACAGGTGGTCTGCTTGGACTGAAAAAAATGTCAAGCAGTTGGAAATGGTTAGGGTAAAATAAATAATGATGAAAGTTCGACACACAAACGATGTGTGTTTTCCTCTCCTATTGGGGTCTTGCGTAATTTGTTTCAGGACTTAGATTTTTATTTCTCTTAACTAAAAAAGTTTTTTTTAATTCTGGGCTTCACTTCCTAAACACTTCATCATCCCGTGGTAAATTACAGAAAATATAGTAGACAAAATGAAACCTTTCAATCGTTTTGTTACAGTTTTATTATGTACGTAATCTGGTATGCATGAGGAGGTTCTATACTTACTACTACCACTGTTACTATTATTGTTATTTTATTGTTGTTATTATCACTATCGTACTTAATCGTGACTGAAACAGATGGGGTATCAAAAAACATAATAGAAAGTCAAAAAAGAAAAGTTTATGGTGATATTGAGTTAGTGTCCGTTTCCATGTTACTGACCTGCTTTAGGTTGTCTTTGCTATCCTTGGAAATTCTCCCATGCGAATATAATCGTATGTACTATTAGGCTTTCCCTCCAATTCCAACTATTCTTATTTTGTTTACAATTAAAAAATCAATAAATATATACCCATTCCTTCTATATGCACTTTTCTAGATGCATCCCATCAGCTGCAGATTTATTCAGCGGGAAACCACTGCTTAGAAAGGTGAACAGCATACTGTACAACAGGATTTACACTTTGTTTGACTTTGGTCTCAAATCGCTTTTCTGTAACTAATACGGATATATTAGTTCGTTCTTTTCTAATTAGTCAGTCAGATTGGGTTTTCTTTTTCACTCTCTAGAACGACTGGGTTGCTGAGGTGCCATTCATTTTTAGCAGTATCCACAGTGGCCACACGGACACTATCTGGTTAAATTTAGATATTCACTGAGGTGATTTCCATAAAGTGTCAGGTGTTTCTTTGGTACATGGCTACGCTTCTACCGTCAAATTGTGCTTCGGTTGGCTTCATGCTACTGTAGTGCGAACTCCTGCAAACGAACTCGCAGATAGCGAGTGCACTGTACCCTTCCTGTCCCACTGAAAAATAATACTTTCTTCAATCACAGGGAAAATATGTAGTTTTTATTATTACAGTTTCCTTGGGAAATTCAGTGAATCTGTGGATTATCCTTTTTTAAATTGGCATGAAATGCACTCACCTTTATGCGTTCGTACGTGCGTGCGTTTATCCTGCCTCGACAGACTCGGAATCTGGGGAATGTAGGCTGTTTGAATCGCACTAGACGGATTTTCCGTGCAACATTTTCAGTTTTGACATTATTGTGCCACTATCTCCATTGCTGTATCTCAGCGAACTCAACTTACTACCGAATAGACGTAAGTTGATAAAGTACTCCGCCTAAAAATCATGTCGTTTCACCTTGTTCCGAACAGCTTGTATAGTTTAATCGTGTATTGTTTTGCTAACTCAGATCCGCCAACCTTCGGCATTGCGTCTCATTTGCAACAGCCCTGAGCTATTCTTGGACGCAGCTAGCTATTTTGATCCACCAGTTTCCGTGATCCTGGTTTACCCTTTTCACGAGTTAAGCTGTTAGGTGCCACTTACTTTTGGGTCGATCTTGGCTGGTCAGGATTTGGTATTTTTCTCCATCATAGAAACTTATTCCTGAGAGATCCGATACCTCTAACGGGTTTCAGACTCCGGTCCACAAGTGAGGTTCGCCTCTGCTCCACGTTTCGCAGCCTTTAGCTCATGCTCTAACTCATTATGAGCACGAACAACTAGATCGGACAAGAGTAATTGATTTCGGTTACCAATGAATTAAAGTGCATCGAAACTAATGCGTGATTCGATTTAACGCAGGTGGTCCAATAAGGTTTACAGTTTTGCACTGAGCGATGCCACTGACAGCTTACTGCTATGTGGTCAGTTTGAGTCAACTACCCATTAAACTGGGTGGGGTTCCACATTCCCATGCGTCGGGAGCTGTTTTGAACAGGAACAGGCGAGTGTCTGCTCAGTCAAAGATTTCTATCGCCCTTAGTCGTTCCCTGTCAGAACAGCACGTAGACTTAAAGAGGCTTCTGATACTGTAAATTTTCTAAACTTTTCGGTAAAGTCGCTTCTCAGCAAAACTATCGCAGTTTCGGCTAAGACGATGTTTGTCGCCGCATAGGTTGAAATCACGAACAAACATCCCTTTGTGTTGTTTTCCGTTGGAATAGTAACTGAAATCATGTCTCCGATACTCAGCGTACACCAATCCCTACGGAGTTCATTGTACGTGTAAGACAAGGTTATTGGCCTACCTTCATGATAATCCTGACAATGGAGCCCCCAGATTCAGACTTTGAAGAATCCATAATTTATTTCTGTTTTACGCAACTTGTAGTGGTGTTTGACAGTGATTTTTGCCCAGCGACCACAGTTCTCAGTTCTTACAGCCATTAACCCTGCACTTTCGTGCGCCGGTTTTGGTTGCTGTCTTCTGGTTGCCCATTTGGATAAAATAGCAGAATAATGATTAGAATGTCGAGAGCAAATTTAAGCGAAAGGTAGTACATTTTCATAGACTGAAGTTACAAGAATAATGAATAGATGCATGAGCGCCACTGTTTACGACACCCAGGCATATCTTTCAGTGTCTCTAATCACCGGTGACCATGATCTCTGGGTCCCCATCCAGGGAGCCTAACGGGACCTATGTTAGCCAGTCTCCTGGTCAAGGTTTTCATATACCCGTGCCAGGTCTTAGCTTGACCGCCCTTCATTTTTTTCCAACCGCTACCTGCCTCGCCAAGCATCGCTCGCCGTGGCAACCTATCTGGTGACATCCGTAGCACATGTTCCAACCAGCGTAATCTACGGAGGTCGACTACCTGTTCCAGTGGACGACCGCGATTACCTAAAACTCTACGCCTAACCTCAGCATTGTTCGTCCGGTTTCCCGACCAAACTCGTGCAATGCTATGTAGACAGCGGTGTTCGAACACCTCATTAGTTGAATACTGAGTGGTATCCGATGGGTGGCTCAAACAGGATTCATCTCTCAGGGTACGAGAGTGAAAAGGGGAAATAGACAGTTGAGAAAGACGGTTCTTCAAATGAGTACCTAAGACTTTTGGACACGGCATACTTCGCGGTTGCCCACACCGACGCAGGGGTTTTTCTTTAGGAAACCTAACCGGAGCCTTCGACTCAAAAGTCTGACCCACTAGGCAGTGAGGCGTAAATCCAACGCGGGAGCGTGAACGAAGCACCCGTGTGGGAGCTTCTGGAGACCTGTCACGCAAGGCCTTTAAATTTCGGTTAAGTTTGTTGTTCACTGGTGCGTTGATTATCGGTCCGCTTTTCGGGATCAGCCCTTAGCCTCGTGCACCCAATGAAACAAGCGGAACGTGGACAGGACAGCACCTTATTGGCTGGGGGCTGCCCAGCTTGGGCGGGCGGTAGCTGTCCAATGAAGTGCGAAGACTTCTCCCACCGTCGAGAGGAAGCCCCAGGTACCCCGCTCCTACGTCCATCTAGCGAGGGGGTTTCGACTGGTAAACTGCCCCTCATCGTGTTTTTTTACTGGAGTGACCTCTCAAGGGGCGGGTGTGGATAGAAAAGGAAGCCAGGAGGTGCCCAAGCAGCCGATCTTGTGAGACTGATCTTCGTTTGGCCTCTACCCGTTGACCTTTCAGGCATTATTGGATCTGCGGCTGAGGAGCCATCCTGTATAGCTCGCAGGGTGATTGAGGCACGCAGGCCATCACACCACACCAATTTACAGTCTCCTCGTGATGGACCCAAATCGACCACATCGCCATCAATTATCGATGGAGGGGATCAATTCAAGACTGTCGCTCTTACTGGTCAACAGCTGCGGATACAGAACACGACTACGAACCAAATTCTCCCTACGCCTGGCAAACAACAACCGCAAAAAAGACATCGACAACGGATACCCGCGATACGGTGTCAGCGATTCATGCAAATCGACCTTCGAAGTGGAGCTCTCCGATCGCCTATCAGTTCAACCACCAACCGAAGGACTCAATGAACACTGGAAGCAAATCAGGGAAACTATGCAGATATACATAAAAACAACGTCGGACCCTGCCTCAAGCTCAAAACACAAACGATGGATTTCGCCAACCTCGGTTGCCCTACTGGACGCCCGCAGAACCCATCTTCCGAATGGCACATACGACACAGCGCGCAAATCCCATAACGCCAGCTCATCAAGAGTCTGAGGAATGACCACGAGAGGTGATGGGTAGAAAAGTGCAAAGAGATGGAGAAAGCTGCGGCTATTGGTAAGTCGTAACCTTTTCCATCCAATCAGGAATACGGGCCCTAGGAAAATAG